AGGGAGGGAGGGAGGGAGGGAGGGAGGAGGAGCAGAAGCAGTGGCGGGCGGAAGCGGGGGAAGGAGGGGAGAAGGAGCGCGGGCGAGCAAAAGCGGCCGGAGACGGAAGAGGAGGAGCAGGCGGTAGAGGAGAAAAGGAGGGGGATATGGGGGAATAGGAGTTGGAGACAATTTCTTTTCTTGCCCTGCTTGGCTATCCCTGTTTCCCATCTGTCGTTCGTTCCCTCCTTCCTTGCTTCCCCGTTACCCCGAAATCTAGTCATATTTGCTGTTCAGATTCAGCAGATGTAACCAGTCAAGTTTCACTCTTCACGTCTAATTCATGATGTCCCTTTTGCCACTTATGATTCCTTGCGCGCTGGTAATAAGCACAGGCCCACTGGGGTTCGGAACTTGATTGTTGCCCGTTGCCCGAGCTGGGGTGATCGCTAGACGTCGCCCTCCGCTCCGAGGTCTGCTCACTCGCCCGTGGGCTGGCGGGCACAACGACACGCCTGAAGTGGGTGCTCGCCTCCCTCTCCCTTCCCCTTCCTCCGCCTCCCCATCCTTCTCCACCACGTCCTCTTCCTCGTCCCCGACGTCATCCTTGTCATTGTGTTTTCATCCTTCCAATTCTCGTCACCATCTCTGCTCCTCCTCCGCCTCCCTCTCCTGCCTCCTGCGCCCCGCCCCCTCGTGTCTCGCCCGCCTCCCCTCCGCGCTGCCGGCCTCCCGCCCACGGGGGGGGGGGGGCGAGGGAGCAGAGCAGAGGGAGGGCGGAGCGCAGGAGGAGGGAAAGCAGAGGGCGAGCAGAGCAGAGCAGAGGGAGAGCAGAGCAGGGGGTGGACGGAGCCTCCCGCCCACGGGTGGGAGGGGGCTCGAGGCTTGGACATCTTCTCCTCCTCCCCCTCCCCGTGCCCCTCGTCCCTCCTCCTCGCCTTCCTCCTCGCCTGCCTCTGCGCCTGCCCCCCCCCCCCGCTGCTGCCCGCCCCCCCCCCGCTCCGCGGCGCCCCCCGCCCAGCGGCGCCAGGCGGTCCGACGCCGGGCGCCGCGCCCTCCCGCGGGCGACGGCGCGCGGCGCGCCCGGGGGGGCCCGGGCGGCAGCACCGCCCCGGCTGCGACGCGCGCGCGCGTCTCCCGGAGGGGGGAACCCTGAGATCCTGGCGTGGCGATTTTCTCGCGACGGGCGCTTTCGCTCCCGACCCAGGTGCCCCAGTCTGAGTCCGGGCCCCAGCGCTGGCTCTGGGGGCCCCCAGAGCCAGCGCCGGGAGGTGAGGGAGGCCTGTCGGGGCGGGGCCCACTGCGGCTGGGGTCGCGTCCTAGTGGTCCAGAGGGGCCAGGGTCTGGCCACGCCTCCCGCTGCGCGCGCTCCCTGGAACAGGGGCCGCTCTGCCGTCGCTCGGGCGGGCTGGCAGGGGCCGGGATCGCGGGGCGACTCATTGGTGCTCCCAGGTTCGCTCTTGGCTCCGCCCGCACGATTTCGGTACCCGGGACCCTCACAGATCGATCGGGCTCGAAAAATGACGCAGAAAGATGGGGTCCAGGGGTCCAGGCGTGTTTTTTTTGCGAACGTCGGATCTCAGGGAAAGAGCAGCCACGAGCAGGGAAGGCTGCGGCGCCCGAGGCACGTCGGGCGGAGGCCAAAGTCGGAGGAGGAGGGGGCCCCATGCCGCTACCCTTCGCCCATGTGTTCTCCCTTTTGGGGGGTCTCCTGGGAGGCCCTCGTCGCCGCCGCTGGATTCGCCTCGAGATCCTCGTCAGAACGCACCCCAGGAGAGGTCCGGGGAGTAGCGGTATCGGTACCTTCTGGTTTCCCCCAGCTAAGTCCATATGGGGTAAGTCCATACGGAGGGGTTGGTCTCCATATGGGTTTATGCCGTATTGATTTGGCCTATCTTTATAGGAGGCTAAGTCCGTGCGGTGCAATCCATTCGGAGTGCTCGGTCTTCGTATGAATGTATGCCGTCTGGACTCGGCCTCTCTTGATAGGAGGCTAAGTCCGTACAGATTAAGTCCATACGGAGTGCTCGGTCTCCGCATGGACTTACTCAGTTCTGGATGCAGTCTATCAACATTATCCAGAGTTGCCGGATTTCAGAGATCCTCAAATTATCCTCACCCGAGTTTGTCCCCGCCTTGGTTTCGTCTTATCATGTGAGATCGCGCCCGCTGGTGCCGTAGGTGGGGCTGCATGTGGGGGTCACGGCCCGCGTGAGGGGTACGGGCGGGAGCCAGCCACGCGCAGAGGGGGGTTGGGGGATGGGGAAAGGCTTCTCAGAAGCACCCCTGCTTCTTAGAAGGACCGGGCCTTGACTACAGCGGTGAGGCCCGCGCCTTCGAAGAAGCAGCCTCCTTCTGATTCCCCCTCCCTCTACCCCCCTGTGCGCGCCGCAAAAAAAGAAGGAGAGTCCTCTTCCTCATCCTCCTCATCCTCATCCTCATCCTCCCCCTTCCTCGTCCTCCTCCTCCTCCTCCTCGTCCTCCTCCTCTTCATTATCATCCTCATCCTCGTCCTCCTCCTCTTCATCATCCTCCTCCTCGTCCTCCTCCTCCTCGTCCTCGTCGAGAGCTGCCAAGGGTTGCTGGTGAGGACCGTGGCATCGCTGGGGCCAGTGCGTGTTTTTCGCGGCGAGGCCAGGGCCCGAACATCGGTACCGTTCTGGAGCAGAGTGAGAGCACGCAGGAAACCAAACGAAACACGGGGAGCGGCCGCCCGAGCGATGGCCGGGGACCAGGGGGGCATTCATTTGGGAGCGGCATCGTCAGACATTGCCCCTGCCTTGTAAGCAGGCTGCATAGGCGAGCAGGTGGGGCCACGGCCCCTGGCCGGGGCGCTAAAACTCAAAGGAGGAGGAGGAGGAGGTTCTTTTTGGTTCCCCCAGGCACTCTTCCCGGGTTTGCTGGCCCCCTCTTCCGATCTCAACGCGCCCCGTGGCCCGTTGGGCCGCGAACGTTCTTCTGGCCACGATCTGCGATCCCTTTTTTTGATGGACCCTCTCTCTTGGACGCCCTCTAAAGGAGGCGAATCGATAGCCCAAGGGCGGGCACCACACGCATTAGTTGGATGGACGCCTTCGAAGCGGGGTGGACAGCCCAACGGCGGGCACCACACGCATTCGTCGCGGATACGCGTGGTGGTCCCCGACTGAGCTGTCCGCCTTGCTTGCGGCTCGGCGGCGGCATCCAGCGGACCTCGGCGAGGAGGAGGCGGAGGCAGAGGAATCATCATGAAGAGCACCGATGTTCTGAATTACGCACTTGTCGTTGGAAGGAGGTATTCTGGGATCCCCAGATCCCAATGCATTGTTGCCGCCTTCCTACTTCGAGAGTCGAGTGGTTTTTCTCCACTCCCTCCTCTCCAGGGGGGCGGGCGGAAACCCAATCTACGTCAAGCGCCTCCTTGCTTCACGATTGTACCCGCATCTTCCGACCACGAGCTGCACAACAAACAGTCGCACCAGTTGAGCTCCACGAGCACGCCGACGTGCACTGGTTGAGCTAGCACGCACTAGACGAAATGTTCTCTACTGCGCCGAAAAATGCTTGCGGGATGCAACCAAGATCGTCCAGGTGCACGGCAGCGTTGCCCGACATACCGATTTAGTTGCATTCTTATTGACTTTATGCCCCAGAATTGCGCAAACGCAGAATCACGCGCTTCGAACCAGCAGAGAACAGCACTAGGGACAAACTACCGATGTAATACCGCGCTGCCGTCCACGCGCAGACACGCGCCTGCGCGCCAGCGCATTGCAAGTGATGTGATAAGTGCGAGAGGACGGGACGATCGAAGTGGAACAGAGAGGTCTTCGTCTTTAAAGCTTGAAACGGCGAAGGCGGGCGGAGCAGGCAAATGAGGAAGCAAAGGAAGGAGAACCAGGGGGAGTGAGGAGGGATCTATACAGTGGCGAACACGCAAGGTCTGAAGTCCACCAGGTCCCTTTTGTGCTTGAAGCCCCTGATCGACACAATCACCATGTCAGTATAGTGCTTCACATCCTCGTTGGTGTTTGATTGCCCGTGCCAGTATTGCGGGCTATCCGTTTCGATGTCCATTACCGTCCTTGTGTATTACAACATGTTTACATCATTCGTTTCGGCTTTCTCTGCCGAGTAGGCACGCTCGAAACATCTAGCTGCACAGAGAATTCGTATTGCCTAAGCCGCCTACAATTTGGAAACCATCTTGCCGCTCCACCTGGACAACAACCGCTTGGACGGCTTCCACGCACAGTGCTTGCGACGAATTACCCGAACCCCGAGTGCATCATGCTCATCTAAACAGGAACGTTGTAGCGCTCTGACATTTTGCGATCGGCGAATACATGCGTATAACCAGTCGGCATTCACAAGAGATAACCTTCTCAAATTGTTCACTCTTCGCATATCCCTATATGACAGTTCAGAAACCGTGCAGTTGACGGGCGGACGAGATCTTGAAGAGTTAATTTGTTCAGGTAAGTGCAGAAGCGTGCGGTGGAACATTTGTCCAGAGAGGTACGGAAAGGAGGGAGGGCGGAAGGGGGAGGGGCAGGGGAGGGTGAGGAGGAGGAGGAGGAGGACGACGACGACGACGAGGACGAGGAGGAGGAAGAGGAGGAAGAGGAGGAGGAGGAGGAGGAGGAGGAGGAGGAGGGAGGAGCAGGAGCAGGAGCAGGAGGCAGGAGGCAGGAACAGGAGCAGACGGTCAGGAGCAGAGGGGCTGGAGCATGAGGGCGAGCACGCGGAGGAGGAGGAGGAGGAGGAGGAGGAGGAGGACAGGGGAGAGGACAAGGACAAGGAGGAACATAACGAAGCGAGAACGGGGCCCAAGAGGTCCTAATTCACAGGCCAGGCACGGTGCCGCGATTATTGACGAAGTCATTGCTATGTGCATCGGCTGAAAGGCCTCTTGAGTTTATGTTGTTCGCAGTCCCGCGTTTCGCTTCCGATATGCTCGTCGAGGCCTCACGATGCCACCAAACATGGCCCAAGATAACCCGAGAGGGGATAAGGAGGAGAAGGACCAGGAAGACGAGGATGAGGACAACGACTGTGGCAGTTAGGCGCCATTGGCGCCGTCTGAAGGAGCCTGGGGGATGCATATCAGGGCCATGTCGCACTCATCGCCTCGCACCCATTGGAGTGAATATCTGTGGACGCGGTCCAACAGTATCGCGCAGATATGAAGCGCCGCGTAGGCAGGAGTGTGATTGAGTTTGCGGGTGCCTGGGATTTGGGCGGACCTTATGCGTGAGCTGCCTAGCTAAAGGCGCAAAGGTGTCTCGGACATTCCCTGACAGTAGATGGACGCGTGGAGTGTGGCAAAGCAACAGGAAAACAAGGACGAGAAGGCGACGAAGAGACGAAAAAGGCGGACGAGGAGCACGAGCAAGAGATTCCGAGTGGGAAACAAAGCAGGAGGGGGTAGGAGGAGGAGGAGAAAAAAGAGTGCGAACAGAAAAGGTGGGCTCAAGCCATTTTGGCTCAAGGTGGCTCGAGGGAGCTGAAGAGGTAGAACGAGCCCGAACTTCTAGGAGCAGGCAGCCATGGCAGCAATTGCGAATATGACGCCGGAGGCTTTTTTCGAACAGATGAAACATTACATCGATGGACGTCTCGACATGAAGCTCGCGCCTCTTCAACACGAAGACCTCGGCGAAAGCCACAGAATGCCAGAGACTCTGAGCACATTTCCGTGCGCGGCATTTTCTGAAGATTCTGTTAGTTCGTACGTGTTTTTCGAGACCTATCGGACTGGCACACGCATACAGGTATCGACCGACAAAAGGCGGAGAGCCTTCTTGAGGTTTGGGTTTCCACCGTCCCGCTTGCAACTAAGTCCATCAGCAAAATGAAGTGTGGAAAGGGAAAATTGGACATCATCTTGATTCCCGTTTTGCTGGGGTATGCCAACGAAGTTCAGTGGGGGATGTCAGGGCGGCACTCAAGCACTTGAGGCTCGGATGTAAAAGTTGTAGAATTTAGGTGGGGGTAAAATGGTGCCATGGGTCCAGGAAGGATTCTCCGAACATGGACGGGCGCAGGATTTCTTCCATCGCACAATTGAAATTGAAGCTGAGGACAGTTTCGAGGAATGTGTGGAGGAGCAGCAGTCGGTGGAAAAAAAATAATCAAGTTTGCTGAACGCTTTGGGAAGTAACGAATTGATTTGGGAGCCTCTTCGCCCCCGCATCTCAACGCTGATTTGTATAATTTTGTCCTCCTAGATGGGGGGTACTTCGCCGACGATATCTTATGATAGCTAAGAGGAAGAAACCCGCATTTTCAATTAAGACGTTTGGAAGGGTCCATGGCCATTCCGTGTCCTTGTGGAAGGGTTGGGGGGCTGGCTGGCTGTTTGGAGTAGCTTTTTCAAGTTTGACCCAGACTCAATAAATATCCCGCCCAAAGGTCCGCTTGACAATCAGCCTCGAAGAAAACCCAAGGGGAGGGGGGGGGGAGAGGAGAAAGAAACTCTCTTTCGACAACTTGTCGCTCAAAAGGTTAGTGGGGTTCGTGCTCATGTGTTATGTTTCCACGTGCAAACCGTTGTGTCCCAAATCTTTAAGAATTTGAGGGAATTTGTTTTCCGAAATCCTCGCCAAAAAATTGTTGTTTATCTCCGTGGAAGCCATAGCAATTTGGGTCTATCAATCTTGGTTTTTGTATTCCGAATGGTTTGTGAGTTTACGTTGAGAAACCACACGCGACGAATCACAAACCGCATGTATTAAGTAAAGAATTCCCCCAATACGTACGCAGGGTGGAACTCTTAGGATGTTATGCCATGTTGTGTTACGTCATGTCATGTTGAGATATTATGTCTTTGGTTTAGCTGC